CTGCAGGATCCTAAACACTGCGACCTGCTCAGATGTGTAAACAGCAAATGAGGTCATGTGGAAACTTTAGCTCAGATCTCATTGCCTCTCTGGGCCCTCCTCCTCGCTCCTCCCTGACTCAAAGTCATTCCCTCCTCCCTCCCACTTCTCCTCCCCCAGCCCCACTGAACTTGGCTGAGGGTCCTCTCTAGCACTCCTCAAATCTTCTTCATGCTATTTTTCACGTCTCATCTCTCACTTTCCAGTTATGAACTTTTCAAAAGCTAGAAACACGTTTTATTCAACTGTGAATTCCAACTGTCCCTTACCCAACCCCTACCCTGAGCTTCTAGACTTCAGGCAAGGTACATAATAAATCCAAGTAAGTGTTTGCTGAATGAATAAGTGAGTGAAGGAAGGAAGGAAGGAAAGAATGCAGGAAGGGCGGGTGCCAGGGAGACATACACTCTGCACTGTGTGTACTTGGCCTGCATATGGCTGAGCTGCCTCCTGGCCCCTCATCCACTCCAAGTAGTGAAATCACAGACTAGCATCCACCCATGGGAAGTGTGAATGCCTCTGCACTCTCTGCCACTCTTCCTCCCCACAGGGCAGCCCTGAAGCTCCATTTGGGCACTTTCAAAGGTAGGAACCCTGTATCTCCCAGGCCAACCCTGCCATCTTGCTGAGTCAGCCAGGCTCAGTGGAAAAGTGTGGGCTTTGGAGCCAGGAAGACCATGAGAGTGAGTCCCAGCTCCACCACACGCCAGCTGTGTGACTGTGGGTGAGCCATGCCCCTCTTTGGGTCTTACTCTTCTTGTCCTGAAAATGGATCCAGTGTCCCCCTTCCAGGGCTCTGTGTGGATGAGATACAATGAGAGTCAAGTGCCCGGACTTGTGCCCAAAGAGTAGTTTTATTCAACTACTCAGAATCAAGACAAGAGAATGGCAGGGGCTTGTGGAGGTTTGAGAACAAACTTCTGTATCAGATCACTTGTACTTATTCTCAGTCTTTTCCCCACTTTTGGACAACTCTGCCAAAAGAAAGGTGTTTTTCCTTTCACAGAACTGAAAGGGGACAGTCACTGGTTGCATTTCTACCTCCTCGGAGCCTGGACCCTGTCTGCTTCTCTGTCCCCAGAGCATCTGGTAAGCAGTGGCAACCTCTCCCATTCCCCACGGGCTCTGCCTTCCATCCCCCAGCCCTAGTCCAGTGCTATGCATGGCTGTGCTCAGCCAGGCTGGCATCCCTGGCCTTCTGCTAGGGCGGAAAGTGCCAAGGACTCCACTACCTTTGGGCCCCTGACCGTGCAGTGAATTGCAGTCCCCACCTGGTTAACCAGTAACAAGACCGGCTGCCCACGCCTGGTCCCATGACCAATCTTACCCTTCCCTACTGCAGGAAGACTGACCCAAAGCCCAGCACCTTTGCCCAGCATGGGCCAGGTGCCCTCCTGAGCCACTGACCTCCTTTGAAGCCTTCATGTGAAGAGGCCCAGTCAGGAAAATCCACTTCTTTAAGCCCATCCCAGCTCTGCTGCTAACCACTGTGGCTCCTTAGGCTCAGGGGACCCCTAGGTCTCTGTTTGCTCACTTCTGAATTGAGGGGATGGGATGGACTGCTTGGGACACGGCCCAGCGTCACAGCCACCAGTCCACTGTTTGGAGCTAACTTTTCATAGGTTTGTGTCCCCCACTGAATGGGGAGCTCTTTGAGGGCAGACGCCCTTCTCATTCAGCTCCCTGTGCCCAGTTCCTGCCCATACCTCTGGCAACAGTTGGCACTCACTCATGTTTCCTAAATGAGTGAATGGAAAGCTAACATCCCTCAAGGGTCTACTATATGCCAAGCTTTGTTTTAAACATTTAGTATGTTTACCACCTCATTTCATCCTCACAACAGCCTTATGGGAAAGGTACATTATCACTCCATTTCACAGATGAGGAAACTGAGGCACTGAAAGATCCAGAATATTGTCCAACTTACACAGCTAGCAAGTTGGGGAGCCAGGCATTGAATGCTAACAATCTGGATGATCATAAAAGAACTCTCTGACTGCCAAGTTCTGATTTCAATGTAATTTTCAGCTCCTATGGCCAGGGCAGTCTGGGCTCTCTCAGAATCAAAACAAGAGAATGGCAGGGGCTTGTGGAGGTTTGAGAACAAACTTCTGTACCAGATCACTTGTACACCACTTTAAGAATTCCACGGAGAAAGCAGAATTCTTTTCAAAAATGAAATCCAGGCAGGGCATGGTGGCTCAAGCCTATAATCCCAGCACTTTGGGAGGCTGATGGAGGAGGATCGCTTGAGCCCAGGAGTTTGAGACCAACCAGGGAAACATAGGGAGACCCCCATCTCTACAAAAAATAAAAAGCTTAGCTGGGCTTAGAGGTGCATGTCTATGGAACCAGCTACTCAGGAGGCTGAGGTGGGGGGGATCACCTGGGCCAGGGAGACCAAGGCTGCAGTGAGCTGTGATTGCACCACTGCACTCCAGCCTGGGTGACAGAGTGAGACTCTGTCTCAAACAAAAACACAAAATGAAATTCATGATGAAATAATAGGCTGCCTAGGAGAGGAGGGGGGGATGGGGGAGTATCAATGCAACAAGATTGACCATGTGTTGACAATTGTTGAAGCTGGTGGTTCATGATACTATTCTCTTTTCTTTTGTATGGGTTTGTATACTTCCATAATAAAAAGCTTAAATTTTTAAAATAAAATAAGAGGAAGTCCATGACTACCATAAACCCACATAAGTTTGCTAACTGTCTTTCTGGTTGTTTCCCAGTTTCTCCTTTTCCCCTGCAGGCCTGCCTCTGACAGCCCCTCAGAGCATCACATGCAGCTCCCTGCCTTTCTCTCTCTCTGTGTTGGCTTGTCTCTGTGTCTGCCACTTTCTATGACCTTCTGAGAATCAGGGAAAAGTTCTGCAATCAAGCCTACACATAAACACCCTGTTTTTATTTCACTTTATCCCGGAGCCTCTCTCTTTCTTCTCTGCATGTTCAAATCTCTGTTCTCTTTGTCTTTGCCTTGACTTCTCCATTCATTTTGACCTTGCTGTATGGCTAGGAACGGTCAGCTCTGGCTGGTGCCCTGCTTTAGAAAATGTGCATGGGGGTGTTTTCATGCATGTCTGAAAAGTTCAGAGAATGCTACCACCAAAAAAATTGGTAGTTGAAGAAGACAAAAACTTTTCTTCTCTACCTCCTTCCTTTCTTAACTGTCTAATAAAGTCATATTCATTTTCATTTCTTTTCACTTAACAAAAGTAACAATAATAATAGCCATTGTGTGTTGAATGTGAGTTGTGTTCTGGGCATTTGGATAAGGTTCTTATAGTTATTGTCTCACTTAACCCTTCACAACCTGTGTAACACGTACTAGTATTCCCGCTTCATGGATGAGAAAACTGAGGCTTTAGAGGTTAACTAAAAGCCCAAAGTCACTTAGCTAGAGGCTGGCAGAGCTGGAGTTTGAACCCTTCTTATATTTTCCAAAGAGGAAACATATTCAGGCACTACAATGACATTAAAACATCGATAAAGGTTTCTAGGGTCCTTAGTGGGGACAGCGACACCCCTCACTGGTAGACCAATTGGAACTACATGCTCAGGCTGGGTCCTGCCCTGTGAGAAGAGCCCTGACCAGCTGAGCCATACCCAGGAAGAGGACCGTGATGGAGAGGGGGCCCTGAGAGGGATGGGGAGAAGCTCTCAGGGGCATGGTGCTGACTTCAAAGGAACGTCAAGGGCCCAAGAGGCACAGCTGGCACCAAAGGGTAGGCTACATTCTCTGGGTCCATCCTGGACTTTCCCTCTAATGCCAGACCACAGGGCCAATTGTCAGCCTCCTGGTTATCTGTCTCTGGATGTCCCATGGGCACCCCAGTCCAACATGTCCCATCTGAACACCCCAGTCCAACATGTCCCATCTGAACACCCCAACTTCCTGCTCCTCCCCTGGCATCCTCATCTCAGGAATGGCACCACCCCAGACCCATTCATCCAAGTCAGGTACCCAAAGTCATCCTCTACTCCTTCCTCTCCAATCCCTGCCAAATCCAGACACATCTCTCCACCCCGAAAGCCACCACATTTATCTCGGTCACTGTCCCCTTTGTCTGGACTATCTCAGTAGCCTCCTGCCCAGGCTCCTATCTCCTACCCATTTTCCATCCTGTGACCAGAGGGATCTTCCTAAAAATCGTCCTCTTAGCCTTTCCCTTCTCCCAGCCCAAGGGGCCAGCTGGAGAGAGGGGGAAAAGGAATAATGCTCTCAGACCTTCCAGTTCCAGTCTTTGCCCACCTCTGGCTGCCTCCTGTGCTCCCTGTCCACCAGTCCTACAAGCCGTCCCTCTGGTCTGTTTCCGGCCTCAGGTCTTTTCCATTCACTGCACTCAGGCTCCCTCCCTCTTCCCGTGGGTGGGATTCCGGGTATCTCCTTTCCCAAGTGACTCTTATTCTTGTTAGTGTTTTCATGGCTCATTTCCCTCTTTGATCCTCCACAGTTCTAAATAGATACTGTGACGCCAGAAGGTGATGATTGGATTTTTTGTTATACTTTGGAGTAGGCTTTCAGTTCTTGGATCTAAAACATTTGAAGGTTAGAATAAGAATTCTGAATTCCTGCCATCGGGGCAGGACTTTATGGATCTCGAATCCTTTCACATTCTTGTTCTCATATGATCTTCACAAAGCTGTGGTTTAGGTAAGGCAGGGGGTATCACACCTGATTCAGAGATGAGGAAACTCCAGGATTTGAACCCAGGCCCCCTAACAACACATCTGGGCTCTGCCCACTCCACTCTGTCTCTGAACTGAAGATGAAAGGAAATCTATTCACTGACCAAGTAACCTATCTATGTTATTTCCTCCATGCCAGCCTGTCTACGAATTAGCTAAAACACGCCTTTCTCCCAGTTTTCATTAATCACCAGCATCAAAGAAGGCAGTTGCTAGGAATATGCAGCTATCCAGCATGACTTGTCTCAGATCTGCCTCTTAAAGCTTACCTGGTGTTTTCGGGAAGCATCTTGGAGTGGGGGTACCACGTGCAGCCCTGGTGGGCAACGCGTTGGCAAAGGAGGCTTCTCTCAATTGTTCTTCGGGTTTCTCAGGGCTCTTGAGTGTCACTGCTTCTGATGTTCTGCCCAGTTCTCGTCACAGCACCGAAAAACTCAGAGAAAAGGCAAACTTCTAGCAAATATTTACCTAAGAAATGAAAGCAAGCAGGCAGCCTGCTTCCTCATTCCAGAACACTGCTGACTCTTCAGCTCCCCTTCTCAGGCTGCAGACGTAGGACTTACACTCCTATTTCCTCTCTCCTGGGCTCTTGCTGGCCCTTTCAAGTTCCTGCTGTGGGCACCATCCCCCTGAGCTGTCGGAGCTTTGCTGAGCAGCCATGGCCCCTTTGGTCAGGTGTAAAAATTACTACAGGCAATAAACTAGGACTCTGCCTTAAGGCAATACACTAGGAGCACTGGCTTCTAGATTCTCTTGGAAACAAGGCAGCCCATTTGTGGGAAGAAGAGGCTGGAGACAAGTTCAGAACTGAATTCCAACCACATGGTGGACCCGCTAGCTGTCCATCAGGCGTTCCTGCTCCCTTTCCATAAAGTAAGGATATTTTCATCCCAGGCCATACTCCCCAGCCACCCTGGCATCTAGGGACAGACATGGACTAGGTCTCACCCATGGAGTGTGAGCCGAAGTGATGTATGTCACTTCTATGCCAAGATGGCCAACGAACAAGCGTGTCTTTCCCACCTTCTCCTTCCCCATCTGTTGGTTGGACTCTAAGGTTCTAAAGGATATGGAATCACAGGATGGAAGGCATCTGGATCCATGAATCACCATGCAGACAAAACTGTCTTCTACACAGGCTGTCCTCTCACAGACTAGTGCATGAGCAAGAAGCAAAGTTCTATTGTAATAAGCTGGTGAAGAGTGGGGCTTATTTGTTCTAGCAGCTGGTGTCACCATAGCAGACACAGCACAGAATGTAGAGGACTTGCAAGCACCACGTGTTCCATCCTTTATTTTAAGGATAAAGCTTCATTTTGATGTAATTACCTCTATAAATGTCCTATCTCCAAATACAGTTACATTCTAAGGTACTGGGAGTTAGGGCTTCAACACAGGAATTCGGGAGGCAGACACGGTTTGGTCCATAACACCCCAGATCGAATCAGCCATGGTGGAGTGGGAGACAGTCATGGAGGCAGTGAACAGACACCATAACTGACAAACTCAGGCCATTTGTGTTTGCCAACCCTGACCTCTTCACTCCTGCCTGGAGCGGCTCCTCCCACCTCTACTGATCGGCATCGCTCTTGTTCATTAAGTCCTGCCTCAAGCAGAATCTGCCATGAAGTATCTTGTGATTGCCATGATGCAATCTTCTGTCTGGGCTTGACCTACATCCTTTTATGTCATATGTTTATTTGTTCATTTAACACACACTTATGGAGAAATAGGTGCAGTGGTTCCAAGTGTGGACTTGAGGGCCAACTCCATCATTTCTCAGCTGTGTAACCTCAGGCAAGTTTCATTGTTCACCTGTCTGAGCCTCAGTTTTATCTAAGACAAGCTATACCTACCTTATGGACAGTGGGGCTGAAATGAGCTAGTAGACATAGAATACTTAGCAGGGTGCCTGACAGACCGTAAGCACTCAGTGAACATTAGCTATCATTGGGAGCCGACTATGTGCCAGGTATTGGGCACACAGTCACAAAGTCACAGCCCCCTTCTAGGCCAGGGTGGCTTGGAAGCCACAGCTAGATCTGATTCAGCATGATGTCTGGGATACAGGGGAGGCTCTATACATACTTATTCTCAAAATGAAAATGATGGTACAAGGAGGAGCTGGTACCATTCCTTCTGAAACTATTCCAATCAATAGAAAAAGAGGGAATCCTCCCTAACTCATTTTATGAGGCCAACATCATCCTGATACCAAAGCCTGGCAGAGACACAACAAAAAAAGAGAATTTTAGACCAATATCCCTGATGAACATCGATGCAAAAATCCTCAATAAAATACTGGCAAACCGGATTCAGCAGCACATCAAAAAGCTTATCCACCATGATCAAGTGGGCTTCATCCCTGGGATGCAAGGCTGGTTCAACATTCGCAAATCAATAAACATAATCCAGCATATAAACAGAACCAAAGACAAGAACCACATCATTATCTCAATAGATGCAGAAAAGGCTTTTGACAAAATTCAACAGCCCTTCATGCTAAAAACGCTCAATAAATTCGGTATTGATGGAACATACCTCAAAATAATAAGAGCTATTTATGACAAACCCACAGCCAATATCATACTGAATGGGCAAAAACTGGAAAAATTCCCTTTGAAAACTGGCACAAGACAGGGATGCCCTCTCTCACCACTCCTATTCAACATAGTGTTGGAAGTTCTGGCTAGGGCAATCAGGCAAGAGAAAGAAATCAAGGGGATTCAGTTAGGAAAAGAAGAAGTAAAATTGTCCCTGTTTGCAGACGACATGATTGTATATTTAGAAAACCCCATTGTCTCAGCCCAAAATCTCCTTAAGCTGATCAGCAACTTCAGCAAAGTCTCAGGATACAAAATTAATGTGCAAAAATCACAAGCATTCCACAGAAAACTTACTGTTCAGCCCAAAATCTTTAAGTTGACTTAGGCACTTCAGCAAAGTCTCAGGATAAAATTAAGTGTGCAAAAATCATACATTCTTTATACACCAGTGACAGTCAAACAGAGAGCCAAATCAGAAATGAACTCTATTCACAACTGCTTTCAAAGAGAATAAAGACCAGAATCCAACTTAAGTGGATGTAAAGGAACTTTCATGAGAACTACAAACCACTGCTCAGCAGAAATCAAAGAGGATACAAACAAATGGAAGAACATACCATGCTCATGGATAGGAAGAATCATTTTGAAAATGGCCATACTGCCCAAGGTAATTTATATATTCAATGCCATCCCCATCAAGCTACCAATGTTTTCTTCTTCACAGAATTGGAAAAAACTGCTTTAAAGTTCATATGGAACCAAAAAAGAGCCCGCATCTCCAAGACAATCCTAAGTCAAAAGAACAAAGCTGGAGGCATCACGCTACCTGACTTCAAACTATACTACAAGGCTACAGTAACCAAAACAGCATGGTACTGGTACCAAAACAGAGATATAGACCAATGGAACAGAACAGAGTCCTCAGAAATAATACCACACATCTACAGCCATCTGATCTTTGACAAACCTGAGAGAAACAAGAAATGGGGAAAGGATTCCCTATTTAATAAATGGTGCTGGGAAAACTGGCTAGCCATAAGTAGAAAGCTGAAACTGGATCCTTTCCTTACTCCTTATACGAAAATTAATTCAAGATGGATTAGAGACTTAAATGTTAGACCTAATACCATAAAAATCCTAGAGGAAAACCTAGGTAGTACCATTCAGGACATAGGCATGGGCAAAGACTTCATGTCTAAAACACCAAAAGCAATGGCAGCAAAAGCCAAAATTGACAAATGGGATCTCATCAAACTAAAGAGCTTCTGCACAGCAAAAGAAACTACCATCAGAGTGAGCAGGCAACCTACAGAATGGGAGAAAATTTTTGCAATCTACTCATCTGACAAAGGGCTAATATCCAGAACCTACAAAGAACTCAAACAAATTTACAAGAAAAAAACAAACAACCCCATCCAAAAGTGGGCAAAGGATATGAACAGACATTTCTCAAAAGAAGACATTCATACAGCCAACAGACACATGAAAAAATGCTCATCATCACTGGCCATCAGAGAAATGCAAATCAAAACCACAATGAGATACCATCTCACACCAGTTAGAATGGCAATCATTAAAAAGTCAGGAAACAACAGGTGCTGGAGAGGATGTGGAGAAATAGGAACACTTTTACACTGTTGGTGGGAGTGTAAACTAGTTCAACCATTATGGAAAACAGTATGGCGATTCCTCAAGGATCTAGAACTAGATGTACCATATGACCCAGCCATCCCATTACTGGGTATATACCCAAAGGATTATAAATTATGCTGCTATAAGGACACATGCACACGTATGTTTATTGCAGCACTATTCACAATAGCAAAGACTTGGAATCAACCCAAATGTCCATCAGTGACAGATTGGATTAAGAAAATGTGGCACATATACACCATGGAATACTATGCAGCCATAAAAAAGGATGAGTTTGTGTCCTTTGTAGGGACATGGATGCAGCTGGAAACCATCATTCTTAGCAAACTATCACAAGAACAGAAAACCAAACACCGCATGTTCTCACTCGTAGGTGGGAACTGAACAATGAGATCACTTGGACTCGGGAAGGGGAACATCACACACCGGGGCCTATCATGGGGAGGGGGGAGGGGGGAGGGATTGCATTGGGAGTTATACCTGATGTAAATGACGAGTTGATGGGTGCAGCACACCAACATGGCACAAGTATACATATGTAGCAAACCTGCACGTTGTGCACATGTACCCTACAACTTGAAGTTTAATAATAATAAATAAATTTAAAAAAAAAAAATGAAAATGATGAAAGAAAAACAAAAGAGAAAGAGAAATACAAAGATTGAGTACAACATACCTCTTTTGCTGGATGTCTAAAAGCAAAGAAACACGGTAAATGTATTTCCTCTGAAACCAGGCTGTCTCCTTCACTGAAAGAAGCAGTTCTTGATACATCTCTGTCAGATGGTTCATAGAAAATAATTGCAAAGCTCTTCTCCTTCTAGGTACACAGAGATGCTATCACTTCCAGAAGTGCCCATCCGCAATGTGCCTCCTGGCTCCATTTCCCAGACTTCAAATGGATATTTTAAATTATTGGATGATTGTGGCAAGTTTCCTCACAATTTTACAATTCCTCTCTTCATACCATTAAGGAAGAATCATTATTGAGTTGTCACCAACTGTTCTGGGGACACTGGAAAGGCAGCCACCTTAAAGTGGGGAAAAAAAAGCTAAGACATTGGTTTTAAAATGCTTAAATGCTGGACATTGGTTTTAAAATGCAAAATTCTGGAATATTTGGTTTACAGTAGTAAAGACTCACTTCTGAGGGGCTGCCATGCTCCAGACTTGGACCCTTTTGAAACCAGCATGATAGATTTCATTTCCCTTCTCTTGGGCTTTCTTATTTTTGCATTGAACTCAAACAGAGAACTTGACGTGTATCTCCAGAACATTTCAACATTTGATTTCTCTTCACCATGCTAAGCTACACAAGCCTTTTCGAATATTGTTTTTCCTATCCAATGTATATTAATTTCTTTGGGGGCATTTGAATACTCTCTCTGAGTTCATCTAGGTTACCAATAAAAACATTGAATAGAACAGAGCCCTATAGCACTCCACTACAGACTTTTTTCCAGGAGTTATGCATTGGTGCTGCAGTTGGCAGAGAGTGAGGAAAGAGATTACTGACTATACCAGACCCAGGTTAGGAAGAGTTACTGTACTGGGGCCCTGTATGTAGTAGGGTTCACAGCCTGGGTGATGTCACAGAAGGAAATTCAACAGTGTATCACAAAGGTTGTGCTTGTTTCCTGAGTGTTGTAAGCTTATTACAGGTCAGTTTCTAGTTATTCTCTAGAGACATGGCTTAATTATTAAATTAAGAACTAGCAATAGAAACTAGAAACTAGAAATAGAAACCAAACCAGAAGTAGAAATTAGAAACAAAAGAACTCAGATATCTAGAAGACCTAGTGCAATTTCTTCATTAAGTTGTGAATGGAAAATCAATCTTGGACCCTCACTAAGCTGAAGGGCAAAGTCAAGCTGGGAACTAAGTCAGGCAAACCTACTTCCCATTTTATTTCTAAATAAGATAGCTACAAAGTTTCAATTAAAAAAAAAAAAGAGCTACATACCTTTCTCATAATTTACCCACAAGGAAATTCTTCATGGGCCTCAAGGTCTTTACCCTAAACAGTTCTGTCGAATTTCACCTTGGTATGTAAATTGATGGCTTATTTTCACACGTGCTATACAAAGGACAGACAGAACTCAAAGTTATTCCTTTGTTCACCTGAGACAAATGCACATCTGATTGCTTCCTCTGCCCTATTGTTTATGTAAAAGTACAGATTCACTGAGCCAGACTAAGGGATAAGTGACTACTCCTCTACCTTCCTCTCACACATAAACTGTGTATTCAGGGAAAGGTTAATCAGAGACTCAAAAGAATGCAATCATTTGTCTCTTATCTACCTACGACCTAGAAGCCCCCACTTCGGGTTGTCCCACCACACCAGACAGAACCAATGTACTTCTTACACGTATTGATTGACGTCTCATCTCTCCCTAAAGTGTATAAAAGCAAGCTGTGCCCTGACCACCTTGGGCACATGTCAGCACCTCCTAAGGCTGTGTCACAGGTGTGTCCTTAATCCTGGCAAAATAAACTTTCTAAATTGATTGAAACCTGTCTCCAATATTTTTGGGTTCACAAAGTAATATCAATGGCTTTCTGGGACAGATACGAGTTTTGACTTGGGACTATTTTTCTCTCTTTGACAAGGAATGAAACCAACCTATATTCTGATCCTGCTCCTTCCCTGTTCTCTAACAGGTTTGCTTCCCCCCTGCTAGTAGAAGAAAGCCAATCTTTTTAGCTGGGCATTCAGTGACCTTTGTAATCTGTCCCCAACTAATCTTTCCAGACTATTCTAGAGAAGACTGAACTCTGGATAACCCCACAGGAGAGCTGGGACTAACCTCTCAGGCCTACCCACCTCTCCTGTCTTCACTCATTCATTCATATCACAAATATTTACAAAGTACCTACATATCAAGGACTATGCTAGTCCCTGAGGATAAATGCTGGTGGGACACACCTTGTTTCTTCTTCCCAGGGAGGACAAGATCCTGGCTGCAGCACAGTATTCACCCTAGGGAGAGTTTTAGTGTTTTGCAGTTTCACATAGACAGAATGCAGATCACAAAGGAAGAGATGACTGCATCAGAAAGCTGGCTGTGACCAATTACCATGACGGGGCCTGGGAATAGTCAGGAGCAGAAGATCAGATTCTGCAAAAGCCATTTCTAGAGCACCAGGAGTGGGATCCATTTAAACTGAAGGCCAACCATATATAAGAAAGAGCTCGGGGCTGAGATACCCAGAAACTTGGGTGCTTGCCCCAGCCCTGCCCTGAAGAGCTGTGTGACCTTGCATGAGTCCTTTCCTATCCCGTGCTGCAGGATGGAAAGTGAATATGGCCCCTAAAGACCACTTTTTACCCGGCTCAGTGCAGGTGTCATCTCTGAAGCTTTCAATGTCCTCCCTCACCAACCTATTGCTTCAGGCATACCTCTGAACATTCAGTGACTTCTGTATGCATTTCTGTTCTCTCCACCTGATAGATGGCTCCTTATTCCAGCACTGCAGCTTGAAATTATTAGGAAATACATACTGAATTGAGAAATAAGGAACATTGTCATTTCTAGATCTGTAATTCCCGCATTACCCACAAGGTGGCAATTTCCTACGGGTGGTCCCAGCACAAACCTTACATTTGGATAGAAGCCCCAGGAAGGGCCAGGTGCAGTGGCTCACGCCTGTAATCCCAACACTTTGGGAGGCCAAGGTGGGAGGATTGCTTGAGTCTTGAAGTTCAAGGCTCCAGTGAGCTATGATTGCACCACTGCATTCCCGCCTGTGAGACAGAGGAAAGGAGAACCAGAAGGACTCTCCAAAAGGCTCATCCTCTGGCTCCTGGTGGGTATGTGCTGTCCCCTTCCCCTCCACCTGTGAAGTGTCCATCTGTCAGAAAGCAATACAGGCCTGCTCTACCATGGCCAAGCCTAGGTTGCACTATTTCCAAGCTTCTCAGCTGGCTGGGAAAGACTGGTGGTCTGGCTCTTACTGACCTCTCAGGCTTCCCCTCCAATGTCTCCACACCCCACACAGCACTGCAGCTGTGCTGAGCTTGCTCCTGCTCTTTAATGTGCTGTCCTCTCTCTGGTCCTCACGCCTTCCCATACACTGTTCCCTCCATGTGGATTCCCCCTCTCTATCATCCTTCCAGGCCAACACCTATGGGCTCTCTGAGATTTAATTTAGGAAGTGCTTTGTCCAGGAGCTCTCCTTGACTCTGTTTTTCCCTGAATACTCTTCAATAGTAACATTCATTGCACTGTAATTGCTTCCCTATCCACCCTACCTGGGCCACCTTCTTGAGCACACAGAGCATGGCTTCCTCAGCTACTCCCCAGTGTCCAACACAGGCCAGGTGTAGAGTGAGCCTTCTGAGAGCTTGCTGGATGAAGAACAAATGAGTCAATGCATCAGCGAATCTACAGATTAGGGATGTGACGTGGAAAGATGAACTGAGACTTGTACCCCTCCCCAACACGGGAAAAATTTGAGAATAAGTGGGGGGGAAAGCTATAGCAGATCCTTGAATAAAGCTGTCACATTCAATGTGATTTTTTTTTTACAACATTGATGAGAAAAAAGGAAACCACCTCCAGCCAGGACTACTGTCTGTGTGAAGTTTGCACATTATCCTGATGTCTGTGTGGGATGCCTGAAGATGTGCACCGGTGAGGGAACTGGCATGTCTGCACGGTCCCAGTGTGAGTGACTGTGGGTGTGCGTGAGTGCGCCCTGCGATGGTCATGGTCTGTTCCTGCCTTGGGCACTGAGTTGCTCAGATACGGTTCAGCCCTTCCCTACCCTGAGTAAATAATTACCTTGTTCTTATTAACCTTTCTTAAATGTTCACATTCATTTTAATGTTTATGATTAGAAGTCTTTGGGGTTTTTATTTAGAAGTGTGGTAATGTTTTTATAACCAGAAATATGCCATAGGAACTCAACCTCTTGCCTGTATTAATTAGCCTACATAAAATTGGTTTTGTTATACGTTGTCTCACTTAAAGTCAGTTTCCAAGAACCTATCCACGGTGTTAAATAAGGACTTGCTGTGTAATTTTTTTGTTGATCTGGATCAGAAAGCAATCAAATGCTCTTAGCACAATAATGGCACATTATTATTTTGAAAGGAAAAGGGCCAAAGGCATGTAAAAGGGGGCAAGTGCTTTCCTCCTAGGAGACTAGGCTGTGCTGCCTTCTAAGAAAGTGAATTCTCCCGTTGGCAAGATGAACTCTTTGTCAATTATTTGTGAGGAAACTGGCAGCAGATATTTTACCCTCCTGGTCAGAAAGGAAGTTCCAGGGGCTTCCACTTTGTGTCACAGAGCTGATGTTGGGATTTTGCTGGTTGCCAAGTGCAACTATTCTATTTAGGAAGCGGGGAAGTAACCACAGGATGTGTGCTCTGTGATCTGAACTTGGGCCCTGAGCGCTGTATGCCCCGACTTTAACTGTGGGCTATGGTGGGTCACTCTCGTAAATGGTCAGAGGTCCCTCTGGGGAGGGGCTTACAGGACGGTTTATAGGATACATTTGTAAAGAGTCCTTCTTTAAGGGGACCCAGCCATCCTTTCAAAGAAGAGGCTCTGGGTTAATACTAGGTCTGAAAATGGGACAAGAACTTCTGGCTCTCCACTGTGGTGATTGAAAACAGGCTCTGGACACCAGGTGTGGAGTTTTCCGTTATATGGAGCACACAGTATTTTAGTAGGATGCCCATCTCTTTCAGTCCTAGGGATACTGTGACAACTAGCCAATGCCAAGATTCCTGTGAGTCAAAACACAGTGATGCTCACCATCTTACTGCTGATTACAATGTATGTGCCCTGCTCTGCCCTTGGCAGTTGGATGCTACCACTTGGCCTCTGCTATTCTGGGATCCCATGATTCCCAGTGGATTAAGGAGCCCAGCTCAGTGGTAGCATCTCTTATCTTCACATGTGGCCAAAAGAGGAGAGCCACCACCAAGTCTTCAAGGACAGTAGTGGTCCCCTCATTAATGAATTTCCCAATGTCATAGCGAAGGGAATGTCCTCTGGGCCCCCCTGGAGAAAGTAGTGGTTGGTTGGTTAGGTGAGTGTGCGAGTTGTCTATAACAAATCGATTCCAACATCTCCCTAAGCCTTTTTATCCCATCCCCTACAACACACCAAGGATGTTCTGGCATCTCAGTATCTTTAAATACAGGTCACCTTTGAATCCCCATTCCACTCAAGCAGCTAAGTAAACTGTAGAGCCTTTTCCCCCTGCACAAATTAACACATTGAATCCAGAATCTCTGATCAGAACACTTGTATCAATAAATTTGACTTGATGCTAAATTCTATTCTGCCTTCCTTGGTCTAACACCCTAAGAATCTATTCATTCATATATTCTCCAGGTTTCTACAATGTCATGTAGCAAAATCTTGCCTTTTTTTTTTTTTTTTTTTTGGTATAGAAGCTAAATCTTCCCAGGACAAATCTTGTATGTGCCCTACTCAACTGCCTAGAGTTCTGATGCCAGTTGAGAGTCTAGTGGCCACAAGCCAGAGGAGAAAAGGTATCCCTTGCAAGGCAACTGCCTTGGGTGATCTTAACACAGAGTCCTTAAGCAAGGGAAAGAGAGTCTTCTCAGACATGACAGGCAAGCTGCTTCCATTGGCAAAGGAAGCTCAGAATGACTCAAGGGTTCAGGATTCTCAGCTTCATCTGAGTCCACCCCGATTTCCCCATTCCAAGTCTCAGGTTCTCATTCCCTAACTTTCACATAAGAGACTGGCAAGCCTGTGAATTCAACTTATAATCATGCAACACACACAATTACATTTTTTTGTGTCATTTTCAGCAATATTGACCCTGTAGTTGCAAGAAACGTATTCTCATTTATCATTTAAATAAATAATTTGTATTATTTTTGAAGCATATTTGTAGTTAAGCTTTCTAGTTCTCTGATTATGACCCATCTTTGACAGTTATTTCCTGGGACCACTCCTGGTTCTATTAGCTGGATCACTCAGGCCTAGTCAGATGACAAATAGAATTCATTTCCCTTTTTATCTTTTTCAGGCAAGCAACAGCTCTGTTTCCCAGGCTGGAGTGCAGTGGCCTGATCACAGCTCAGTGCAGTCTTGAACTCCAAGGCTCAAGTGATCCACCCACCTCAGCCTCCTGAGTAGCTGGAGGCATGTACCACCATGCCCAGCAAACTTTATAAGTTTTTGCTAGTAGAAAAGAGGTCTCACTGTGTTGCCCAGTCTGTTGAACTCCTGGCACAATCCTTCCAGCTTGGCCTCCCAAGGTGCAGGGATTACAGGCGTGAGCCACTGTGCCAAGCCTACAAATGGTATGTAATATAAATAATTATTGGGCCAGGCATGGCGGCTCATGCCTGTAATCCCAGCACTTTGGGAGGTCGAGGGTGGTGGATCACCTGAGGTCAGGAGTTCGAGACCAGCCTGGCCAACATGGCAAAACTCTGTCTCTACTAAAAATACAAAAATCAGCAGGGCATGATGGCACACACCTATAGTCCCAGCTACTCGAGAGGCTGAGGCAGGAGAATTGCTTGAATCCAGGAGGTGGAGGTTGCAGTGAGCCAAGATAGCACCACTGTACTCCAGCCCGGGTGACAGAGCAAGACTCTGTCTCAAAAAATAATAATTAAAAAAAAAAGAATTATTGGCTGGGCACAGTGGCTCATGTCTGTAATCTGAGCACTTTGGGAGGCTGAGGTGGGCAGATCACTTGAGTTCAGGAGTTCAAGACCAGGCTCGACAACATGGCAAAATCTTGTCTCTACAAAAAAAACCCAAAAATTAGCCAGGCATAGTGGCACATGCCTATAGTCCCAGTTACTCAGGAGGCTGAGGCAGGAGGATAGTTTGAGCACAGGAGGCAGAAGTTGCAATAAGCGAAGATCATGCTGCTGCATTCTAGCCTGGATGACAGAGCCAGACCCTGTCTCAAAAAAAAAAAAAAAAAAAAAAAAAAAGAAGAAGAAGAAGAAGAAGAAGAAGAAGAAAGAAGAAAGAAGGAAGAAGGAAGAAGAATTATTATTAATTAGGCAACTTGGAGGTAGCAACTGTGAAGCAGCTACCACCATTAGGGCTAGGAGAACAATGGAAATGGTTGGAATGACTAAAACTTACATATGCATACAAGAGGGGTCCTTGTAGCTCAAACTCAGACCTCTGCAACCACTTGGCTGATGCTAGTGTCACTGAGCTTGGAGAAAGAACCCCAGGGGGGCTGGGGCGGTTCATTCTGGTTGGGCCTGAACTCTAAAATCTCATCAGGACGGTGTGAGCCCCAAATCTCTGCTCAGCTCTCACCTCCCAGCAACTGCCCTCAAGTCTTGCCCTGTACTTGTGCAGTACAGGGTCAGCCAAAGGTCTAAGACTCGTGGGACTCCTTCTCTGTGGTTCCTCATTTTCTGTCCTAGATCCCCAAATCTCTGCCTTAGTCTTGAATTCTGATGTCTACCTCTTCTGTCCAGTGAGACTGCTTGGCCTCCACCTCCCTGCACAGTGGCCTGGAAAGTGTACCCAGGAAGAAAGTTTGGGTAGATGTGGGGCTCACATTGTGTGCCCCCTGACACTCTCAAGGATCACAGCCCTGTGTTGGAACACTGTCCAGTACCTGTCCATAGCTGTTTTCTTTAATTTGTCAAAGTTATATAGTAGTTTACAGCAGGACAGCAAATCCTCTATCATTCTTTTTTGTCTGCTCAGTATCTGAATTCCCATCTTTGCAGAGTTCTACATCTTGCTACACCCCCTTGCACGCAATATTGAAGTGAAATCTGTCTCCCTAAAAATCCCATCTGTCATTTATGGAACTTCCCTCTAGACACCCACCTTGCCTTCCACACTGTAATGGCCCATTAGAGGTCTGGAGAAAGGGCTTTCACCTTCCCTTAGCTTGGAGAGAAGACTATCTATGATTGCCCTAACTGTTAAAGCTTGAGGTTCAAATCCATGGCCTATTTATGGAGTGGCCTTTGCTCAACTGAGCTCCTGTCCTCTTCCTCTGTGCTGGAAGCTCTCCAAGGACAGAGAACATCTGCCATTTATCTCTACGTTCAAGGGAGGAATAAATGAATGGGACATTCATACCCACTTCAGCAGCTGCTGGGTGGGCATACATCTGCTCTGAATGGGGGATTGACTAGTCTTCCCTGTGTTGTGTTTGTGTTCAGGCTGGAAGCTGAAGAGGAAGAAAATCACACCCATTCTTGTTGCCTAATTACTTACCCGGGTGCATGGGATTTCTCCACCTGCCAGACAACAGAGGCACCTCAACTCCCTTCCCGACTGGGAGAATTTGTCCCTTCTTTCTCCCATCGTCTTAGGGGGCCCACAGGTGTGGCCCACAGTGTTAACTGGTACCCTGGGAACCAGAGAGATGAAAGAGCACAAAAGCCTCTGCTGGGCTATGGGCTTGCGGGCAATTTTAAAAGGAAATAGACAAGACTGATCACCTTTAAAGCTTGGGAATGTTTTCTCCACCCAGATACAGGGGCTTTGATGCCACAGGCTCAGTGTTGGAAAATGAGTCTTCTGATTTAATTCCCAAAGAGTCATTATGCATACCTAATACTCTCCCTACCATTTAAAAGGAATGTAGATCATATGTAAATGTGCCTCTGTGAGATTGTGTATCCTAACCTGCATTAAGCACACATTAACTTCATTATAATGACACCGTTCACTTACCGCTCCTTTAATGTCTGCATAAAAAGGAGGCAAATCATCTTTGTACATATTTATTTCTCAATCATGACCATGTTTTGTCCAGTCCAGGTCTCAGGGTCAGGCACTGTACTATGGGAATAGTGGCTCAGTTCGAGGTAATCAAATATCAACTCCCCTGACCCCTAATTCTGACTCCCTCGATGCTCCTTGCCAAGACTCATTCTTAAACTCCTTCTTTGACAAGGACCTCACTATCTCTGGGGCAGCCTAATCTCTCTTTGAACAACTATGAACCATTAGAAAGTTTGAACTTACCAGCAAAGTTGTCCTGAAAAGCAGCATGGAGTTCGCTCATCTCTTTTGTTTGCAAATCCTGCTTTGTTAAGTGTTTCCTTCTCATAGTGAGACCCCACCTCTGAAAAAAAAAAAAAAATTGTTTAAATTAGCCAGGCATGGTAGTGCTCATCTGTAGTCTAGCCACTCAGGAAGCTGAGCGAGGGAGAATGGTTTGAGGCTCAGGAGTTCGAGGCTGCAGTGAGCTATGATCATGACATTCCACTCCAACCTGGGGAGCAGAATGAGGTACCATTTCTTTAAATAAAAAAAAAAGTGTTCCCTTCCCATCATTAAATAATCTTAAATTCTTGCATGTTTACACATTCACATATTTACAAGTATGCCATTACATTAGATGTGTACTTTTAAATTTGCTATTTTACTAAACAATGTATTATAAACATGTTTGCATTTCTATTAACCCATATGTTCTTTCTAATTTTTAATGCCTACATAATCCTCTATTGTTAGACGCACCATAATTTATCTAATGATTGCCTCTCAGTGGGCATTAAGGTCGTTTCTGTTTTTTTTTTTTTTTTTTTTTTTTTTTTTTGCTGTAGTGACCAACTCCAGGATGAAATCTTCACACATCGTGATCTTTTTTTTAGGAGAGATTCCTAGAAGAGCACAGAGAGGTGAAGGGGTGAGAGCACTTTAAAAGGCCACTCCTGGTAAAGACAGCAGCCTTCAGGTTGAAAGTCATCATTAATACATTCTGACAGCTGCGCTGAGTGCATTAGCAACATTGTTATATTTATTCCTTACCACCACCCCTTCATGGTGCCTGACCACCCCTGCTCTGTGTGGCTGACTGACTGTAAGGTAAGGCCCAGCGTCGACCAGGCAGATGGCCCTCCTCTGACCACCACATAAAGTGGCCTCAGAAGAGGTTCCTTTATAGGAATAAGAAGACTGCAAACTGGGAAGGAACTAGGCTTGAAAACAAAATGAACTCCACCCAAGAATGCTGTAGCTGGTCTTCCCAGGCTGCAAGAGGCTTTCTCCATCTCTAGGAGTTCAGCAAAGAAAAAACAATAGAGCACAAGACAAATGAGGGGTGGCCAGTAAAGGCAGGAAAAGTCTCCCATAAAACCTGGTCAGCGAGTCCCTCCCTCCATTCAATGCCTTTACCTGGCAACACATCAAATCCCAGCAGCCAAGACTCTCTTAGGTTTCTCATCTGGGTGTCCTGCCAGGACTCAGGCAGGATGGTGTGCACAGAGCCTGGCCCAGAGAAGGCACAACGGCGGCATGAAAAACTGACTACAAGAACCTGCGTCTTTCCAACATGCATTCCCCACTAATCCACAGGCACACTGACCCTGGTGCACAGAGACTTCATCAAAGCATTATTTGTATTAACCGAAGGATGGAAAACAACTGGTTAAGAAACTGCAACTAGTCGGCCGGGCGCGGTGGCTCAAGCCTGTAATCCCAGCACTTTGGGAGGCCGAGACGGGCGGATCACGAGGTCAGGAGATCGAGACCATCCTGGCTAACACGGTGAAACCCCGTCTCTACTAAAAATACAAAAAACTAGCCGGGCGAGGTGGCGGGCGCCTGTAGTCCCAGCTACTCCGGAGGCTGAGGCAGGAGAATGGCGTAAACCCGGGAGGCGGAGCTTGCAGTGAGCTGAGATCCGGCCACTGCAGTCCAGCCCGGGCTACAGAGCAAGACTCCGTCTCAAAAAAAAAAAAAAAAAAAAAAAAAAAAAAAAAAAAAAAAAAAAAGAAACTGCAACTAAACCCTGTGGAAATGCCACTCTACATGAACTCCAAAACATATCACCATATCTCATCATAACAAAGTCACTGTGGACGGAGATGCACCGTGACTTTACGTAGCATTAAGAAACACACTCACAGAACCAATGAACTATGCTTCCATTGATTTTACAAGAAACTCAGTTTCAGAGATGAGAAGAGGTGGGGAAACTGTGAAATACTGTTAAGTGGAAAAACCAAGTGCAGACTAATGTATATGGCACGCTACTCCGTGTGTGTGGGAGAGAAACAGAGTGTGTTTTAAAGGAAAGGGCTTTTATAGGCACATATGCTTTTATAGGCACAGAGAAAATTTCTGCAAAGATACACAAAAACCCGATAGCAAGAGCGGCCTCTGGGAGTCGAGCTGGAGGATGGTGATACAAGGTGGTAGGGAAACCCCTCTTTTCATCCTTAGATGTATATGTAAAATATACATTTTAAAACATATATTCTCTTTATAAAATAAAACTTCTTAAACTACAGAATGCAAAATAAAATTAAATAAAACAGCGCATCCTTCTGGGAGGATTTACGGGCATACTATCTGGAACCAGCCTTGGATCCGGAGACTGTACCGTTATCCAATCCTGACTCTACCACAGCGACCTCGGGCAAGTTCTCCCCCCGACTGGGTCTCGGTTCCCTCAAGAGTCCAGTCGGAGGTCAGGAAACTGCTCTCGGGGCGCCCCTCCAGCTCGGAGCCCCGGGCCGCGGGCACCGCGCGGGTCCCGGGCTGAAGCAGCGGTTTGCGGGCGCCCCGCGGTGCAGGCCCGGCCAATCAGCGGCCGCGGGGCGGGAGCGGTGGCTGCTTGGCGGGCGCGGAGCGGAGCGCGAAGCAGAGGCGCCGCCGCTGTCCCGAAGCAAGCCATGCCGCGCTTGTCGCTGCTCTTGCCGCTGCTGCTTCTGCTGCCGCCGCTGTCCCCAAGCCTCGGGATCCGCGACGCGGGTGGCCGGCGCCCCGAGTGTGGTCTGTGCCTGCCGGAGCGCTGCCCGGCGCCCGCGCCCTGCCCGGCGCCCGGGATTTCGGCGCGCGACGAGTGCGGCTGCTGCTCTCGCTGCCTGGGAGCCGAGGGCGCGCGCTGCGGGGGCCGAGCCGGCGCGCGCTGTGGCCCCGGCCTGGTGTGCGCTAGCCGGGCCGCGGGGGCGGCGCCCGAGGGCACTGGGCTCTGCGTGTGCGCGCAGCGCGGCACCGTCTGCGGCTCTGACGGTCGCTCCTACCCCAGTGTCTGCGCGCTGCGCCTGCGCGCCCGGCACAAGCCCCGCGCGCACCCCGGTCACCTGCACAAGGCACGCGACGGCCCTTGCGAGTTCGGTGAGTCGGGGTCGGGCATCGGGTGGGTAGAGAAGGGGGGATTCCAACCCTCTGGGGTGTGGAGCGAAGGATCCCCCTGCCCAGTGGTGGACGGCTCTGCCTGGGACTCAGTTTCCCTTTAGAGAGCAGTATTTCGTATCTCTCCTCGTGCTCAGAGAGACTGGGATGAGAATCCTTGGAGACGCCACTCACCGTGCTAGTCGAATTTTTGGTGAGCCTGCTACCCCTTTTGGTACGTAAGTACCTGCTGATGCAGTCACTTATTTGTAGGCATGGTACGTTTGCCGGGCAGGAGACTGGGAGTTGAGGAGGGAGATGAGAGTTCCCAGGTATCCAGCGCTAGGTGGATTGTTTGAATGGGGAGGAAGGGAAGTTGAAGATGCGGGAGGAGGATGAGTTCCAGACTGGGGAATCAGGAGTCACCAGGCCATAGCACCAGAGAGCACCAGGGCCCCAGGTGTGGGATGGGGCTGAGCTGGGATGCTGAGGGAGCTCCACCCAGGAAAAGTAAGACCTCTGGAGAAGTAAGATCTGAAAAGATCTTGTGGTGCTATTAGGGGCAGACCCAGGTTTCGAGGGTCTAAAACATATATAATTTGGAGAGTCCTGTCTTAAGTAAAGGAATAGAACTGCTAGGGACTTTGAAACTTATTATGAAATGTTAGGGACTTAGAAACTTAAGCTTCATTAACATCAAAGTAAAATAATCTCTGTGTGCTATAGTTGCCCACTCTCTTTATGTACCTTTTGAAAACCAAACAAAAAGAAACCAAAGCATTAGTACTGCTTTACCGGCTTCCTAAGCATGAGCGTATCCCGCCCATTAGGTATTGGAGAAGTGCCCCTGTGTACTCTGTCTGGAGTGGGCAGTGAAGAGTTTAGGGTGAGTGATACGGGGACCAGTGAGTCCCAAGGAGCCTAGGTTTCAGCCTGGGGTTCAGGCTTCTGGGAAATAATTCTGGCCTGAGCCCAGAGACCAAGTCCAGACTTTAGGGCCTAAGACAATATAATGACTTAGCTTCAAGAAAGAAGCTTGGGGTGGGGTTCTTCCCAAGCCTTAAGAAGGATCTAGTAATCTTTCCCCTCGAGTAGTTCAGGTAGATGTACCCAAGTCCAGAAGACACAATGGGGTGTTGGAGATGGGGCAGGAAGCCTCCTGTCCTGGGAAACATAAAACCAGTGTGTGGCCAGTTGAGCACAGGAAAGTCACCATTGACTGTTCCTAGCTGAAGCTCCCCATGGAGGACAGAGCTGGCTGGGGGTGCATCTGTGCTGCCGTTGGCTCCCTGAGTGGCCCTGGACAGGCCCCTTCTCCTCTCTGGCCATATCAGCCCCAGTGGAGTCATTGTTGAGGTCCCTCTCACTTGGAACAGTTTGTCTCCGCCATGTGGCACTTAAGCAGTTCTGTCTCTTTCCTTTTGCTAGTTCCTATCACTCGTTTTTATAATCTGCTTTCCTCAGCAGTTAATTCACAGGCAATTCTCTTTGTCTCCAGACAGGTAACACTTTAACTCCATATGTAGGAGACATAAGAAATGCTGACAAGGTCCCCAGACTATAAGTGGTGCTGATGGTCTTAGATAATTTCTCCCCAGAGTGGCATTCTCTTCCTAAGAGAAAGGCACCTTAAAGACATTCAGAGCAAATCTGCTGTTATACAGAGAAAGAGACTGAGACCCAGTAAGGTCAGAGCCCTTGTCCAGGGTGACCAGTAAAGGATGACCAGCTCCCTGGTCCCAACACCCTGTCCAGTGCTCTTTCGGCATAGGACTTGATAGTATTAAGTCAGGCAGATGGTGGTTACCATGGTTACCAGAGTGAGGCCAGATGGCAGATGGAAACTCCATACCCCTAATTCACTGAAAATTACCAAATGACAAGTAAATGTGACAGCCCCTCCACTCTGATCTACGGGCTCTGACGCCCACCCCAGGCACAGACCCAGGGAATAAAGATGTTCGCAGGGCCACAAGGAAGCAACTCAGAACTGCTTTTCATGATCTCATTAGCGACAGGCGTCAGGCCTCCCCGGGGTTCAGCCCTTCTTCTGCATCAGCCTTTGTGTCATCCACCACAGAACCGGGCACTGTTTGCCTGTCACTGTCTGTCCTGAAGTGCTTGTGTGGCCTCTGCCCTTGTGTCCAGATAAAGCATGAAGGTTTGGACAGGGGATGTTTCCTAGCCCAGGCAGCAGCTCATTCTGTGCTGCCCTAAAGCCATCTTTTATTCAGAAGACACAGCGGGAGCGTTTTTTAACAATGCCCCTGGGGACCCCAGTTGAAGGGAAACAGACTGTGAGTCAGAGCAGGGCTGTTCTGCTTCAATATTGGCAATAAAATCACCCTCCTGACTCCTTTGGAACCCAAGCACCTAGATTTCATGGAATGAGGCCTCGGGAAGTATTTATTGTGGTGCTCACAGTGTATGAAGGGTCCTTATACGTGCCTCTCAGGAGCCTGGGGAAGCAGTTTTCAGGCTTAAATTCTGCTCTTTCCTCCTATGCCCTGAAGCGCCCCAAACTGCCACATAATGAGAGTGACCCTTTGATCCACACACATGTATGGAAGACTCGCATATGAATAATTCTTACTGTTGGAAATTGCTTTTGCATCCATCTTTTTTTTTTTTTGAGATAGGGTCTCACTGTGTCTCCCAGGCGGAGTACAATGGCTTGATCACAGCTCACTGTGATCCTGGGCTCAAGGAACCCTCCTGCCTCAGCCTTCCAAGTAGCTGGGACTATAGGCACATGCCATCTTGCCCAGCTAATTTTTAGAATTTTTTTGTAGAGACAGGATCTTGTTGTGTTGCCCAGGCTATCCTTGAACTCCTGGCCTCAAGCAATCCTCCCACCTCAGTCTCCCAAAGTGCAGAATGAAACTTCCCCCTTCGGCCTGGCACCCAAGGCTTGCAATGGCCTACCCCAAACTACTCTGGGGTGTCCTCTCCTTTCCCAACCATCCTACCAGGCCTCGGCCCCATGGGCCCACTTGCACACCCACCAAAGGGTTCCCACTTCTGAGCCTCAGTTCATGCTGTGCCTCCCCCTTGCCAGCCTTGGGATGCTCTCCTCATCCTTCAAGGCTTCTCTCAGGAGCTATAGCCCAGTGCTAAATAGAGGGACAAGTGACGAACCTTGGGAAAAACAGGAAGGTGGACCCAGATTGAGAAACCCCCAAGATTCAAGGGTGGCGGGTGCACAGCACCTTACTGATCAGGTTGCTAGCAGACTAGCTGTGCGGCGACCATCTGAAAATAGCCAGGCAGGCCAGGCACGGTGGCACACGCCTGTAATCCCAGCACTTTGGGAGGCCAAGGCGGGTGGATTACAAGGTAGGAGATCGAGACCATCCTGGCTAACACAGTGAAACCCTGTCTGTACTAAAAATACAAAAACAAAATTAGAAGAAAGATGCAAAAACAATTTCCAACAGTAAGAATTATTCATACTTGGGTCTTCAATACATTCTGAATTATTGGTTGAGCTTCTCACTGGTAAGGTGGTATGGCCTTAGTATTATGATGATGATGATTGCTCTCATTACTTTAAAGGCTGGACCATTCAGTGTATGTGCCCTATTTGTTAGCATTGGAAGAGGGTTGGGATCCTACAGACAGCAAGACAGCAGGGCATTGAGCCCTGGCAGCTTCAGTGAGCTCCTGAGACCCTGAATCTTAGAAAATACACCTTGGTTGAAATTCCAGCTCCACTTAGAAACCTAGGTCTGTGCTAATATGTGTTACCAGGTAACCAGGAGAGGCAGCAAATGCCACTTCGTGAGAGGGACAAAGAAGGGGGTTTGTGCTCAAAACCCTTTCATGCCGAGGGAGGAGATCTGAGGCAGAGGCTGCAGGGAGCAGGATTAAGCTGTTTCTCATTCCACATCATAACGTGACTATTAGCATAAATTATCAGGGCTGTTCAGTGCGTTGATTATTAAAATCTTTGGTTGTGTGCTTTTTAATACAAGCAGATGGGGTCCTGGGGGATGACTTGATATTCTTTCTTTCCCTAGCACCATTAACTTTAAAGAAATCTCAGAGGCATTTGGGAAGATTTTTTCATTCCAGCCATCAATGACCGATATAATTGACGAGGTAGGGGGACAAAGCACCACACGCTATAATAATAATATTGATCCCTTTCATTTGTACAGATCCACACAGTTAATAACGCAGTCACATCCATTTTCTCCCTTCACCCCAAGGATGGGAGGCTGTGGTCATTATCTTCATTTGCAGATAAAAAGGAAATGATTAACAACTTGCCCTAGCTCAAGTGGTTGGCAGCCAGATCCCTGGGCATTTGAGTCTCCCTCTGGTACTGTTTTTGCTCACCCCACAGTACTGCCTCCTGTGACCATGTGCATCTGGGTGACTGTCTTACCTGCTGGTTAGCCCTTGGATGGTTGGATTTGTGCAATTCTAGGGCTATTGCTGGCACAAGCAGAAGGAAACAAGTATCAACAAGGAAGAGCTCTAGGGGGATGAGGCTTCCACATTCACAGACTGGGCTAGCTAGAAGCCATCCTCCCTCCTACAAGCCACATCATTCTTGTGAAAGGCAAGCAGAAAGGAAAGCCCTGGTTCTTCCAGCAGTGTGGTGGCTCTGGCAACAGTAAGAGTATATGCTTGGCTCCCCGGAGTGAGGGCTGTAGTCATGGCTCCTGGTGCCTGTCACCTGAGACCAGAGGAGGGTCTCATGCAGGCAAAGAGCTTTAGAGGAGACTGCCTAGGGACAGCACACCCTGCTGAGTCCTCAAGTCCCTCTGCAGAGGTCTTTTACATTTTGTAAAGGGTCTTGCAATTGTTCCTCACAGCAGCCTTTGGGGAGTGGGCTGGGGAGGGAATAGATTCCTGTGCCCATTTTAAAGAAGAAGAAACTGAGGCCAAGACCTGGCAGAGAAAGGATTTGAACCTGGACTCTTCCACCCCTGCCTGCCATGCTGTCCTTCCTGCCTGTGGTGGCAGCCATGACATTGAGCGCTCCAGTACAATGCTGGAGTGAGCCCTTGGGGATAGTAGGAACTAGAAATGTCCTGCTGGTGTCAAGGACACATTGCTCATGTTAGGGGTTATCTTCACAAGAGCTGTTCCCTGGGGGTGATGTTTGGGATGTTTCATTATTGTATAGAAAAGAGCTAACATGGCAGGCCTGTGACCATATCCTCAGAAAGGCTTGCTGGCAAGGTTGGCCCTGGGCTGGTATCTGGGGACTTAGATTACAGGGGGGTTCCACTCTTCTCAGAATTGATGAGAGTGGCTCCCTGTGCCTGAACTGTACAAACAATGTGGTTTATGCGGAACCCCTGCTTTCCTTCTCAGAGTGTGGACTTTAGGTATTCAGTTAGGCAGAGAGTGCCCCTGTGGCCAGCTCCCAGTAAAATCCCTGGGCACCGAGTCCCTCTTGAGCTTCTGTGGTAGACAGCATTTCACATGCTTGTGACGCCATGGGGAGGGCTCTTGGAAGCTTGTGCCTGCTTCCCCCACCCTAACTTTTTCCCTTGACCGATTTTGCCAGATGGGAAAATCCTTTCACTGTAATAGATCACAGCCTGAGTACCACTGTATGCTGAGTCCTGTGAGTCCTCCTAGTCCTCCTAGGAAATCATTGAACTGGAGAATTGTCTTGGGGATCCCCCAACACAATGCCTAAGCAACTCATCTCTTACTCTGGAACGGAGACCATACAGATAACAAATGTTCCACTTCAGAAACCAGTGTGGGAGTGAATGGAATCATGGTGCTGGGTTTGAGTCCCTGTTTCTCTGGGCACTTTATCTTTCTGAGTCTTGGTTTTCTCATCTGTAAAATGGGGATGGAAGCAGCTACCTCACAGAGCTGGTGTGAGGATTAAAGGGTAGTGTACATGGAAGAGTCCTCTAAGGAAAAGGGAGGGTGGTGTTAGCACAGTGGTTCAGAAGAGCTTGAGATCTGGAGCCAGATCACTGGGCTCATAGAGCCTCCTCACTCTGCACGCTTTAATGCTGGGTAACCCAGGGCAGCGCCACCATCTGGCGGCTGGTGAGATTGCTGGAGAGATAAACAGGTTAATACCTGTAGGCAGAAAAGTGCTTAGTACGCAGTGAGTGCTGTGCTAGCTGATAGTATAATTACTGTTATTACTGGTACTGTGATAATTATTTATTATAAAGAGCTACTATGGATAAAAATATTTTAAATTTAAAATCAGATATGTTAAAATTAAAAACAGGGCTGGGAATACAGTGACTCATGCCTGTATTCCCAGAGCTTTGGAAGGCCAAGATGGGAGGATTGTTAGAGGCCAGGAGTTTAAGACCAGTCTGAGCAACATAGCAAGACCCATCTCTACAAAAAAAAAAATTTTGTTTCATTAGCTGGGCATGGTAGTGCATGCCTGTATTCCCAGCTACTCACGAGGCTGAAGCAGGAGGCTTGCTTGAGCCCTGGAGTTCGAGACTACAGTGAGTTATGATTGTGCCACTTCATTCCAGTCTGAGTGACAGAATGAGACCCTGCCTCAAAAAAAAAAAATTAGAACCGGATTATTATGGCACAAGCAACATGAAATTTTTTGAGGTCACAGAACAACTGTTCTGTATCTTGGCTATAGTGGTAATTACATGACTGTATCCATTTGTCAAAACCTAGAACTGCACACCAGAAAGAACGAATTGTGCTTTATGTAAATTTAAAAATAAATAAATAAATAAATAAAAATTTAAACGTCCCTTTAATGTGCTTTGACCTCCCTTTAAAAGCAGGGCCTCTTTTGTAAAAGAATTGGTATTTTTTGCCACAAAATCAGTTACGAAGTCAGTATTTCCAAGACAGTCTTTCTTAACTGTAGTTGTTGAAAGAGAGAGAGAGACTGAAATATGAGGAGAGAGAGGTGAATTGTGATTTACTGGTTTACTCATTTAGGCCTGGAAGGGATTGATGAAATCACATTTAAAATGTATGACTTTACATGAACAAAAGTAAACCACGCTGACTGAGCATCCCCTTGGTATCCAGGTCCTCCTGACTGTCACCACAGTGAGCCACTGGAGCACCAGTTTGGGCTCCCCTGGAGGCAACATCCCAGCACTTGTGTGGTTGGGGAGGCGCTGGCGGGACAATGTGAATAAATTAGACTGTCTTTGTCATCGCAGATAGGGCTCCTGCCAGAGAGCTCAGTGTTGTGGCTCTCTGTGGCTGTCAGGCAACGTTAGACATCTAGGATCTTGGTTCCAGGGGCTTTGGCTACACTCAGGCACATGGATTGGGCACCAGCCTTCAGAGGGCCCTCAGGTGGGCACAGCTGAAGGAGTGGGCGGATCAGATAGAAGAGGAGGAAAGCAGCCTGGGTTGGGGAGGGCAGTCTGCATTCAACTCCCTGGTGGGCTGCTGGGACAACCAGGGGCTATGGGGCTCCAGAGGGCCGCCCCAGGGTCAACGGGTGGGAGTCACAGGCTTTAGCTCTAGGTGAGGATGTACTTTCTTACTAGTAGAGCCCTCCAAAGACAGAATGGCCTGGCCCGATAGGTGGTGAGTTCTCCATCCCTGGAGGCATGCAAATGGAGGCTGGGTGAGCATGTCATACATGGTCAGACACAGAATCACAGAGAATTAGGATGCTAAAGAGCCTCTCTAGTTTGAGACTATGGCTCTAAGGCGATTTTCCAGAGATTTTTTTTGGCACTGGCTTGACAGGGTCTGCTTCCCAGTCTGTCTGGAGGGGCCAAACTAGTCTCCTTTCTGCACCCTCATCCTCCTGTGCATTTGGGTGTGATGCGACCCTGTCTGTCACCTCCTTCCTCCTGCCTTCTGTCTCCTCCCTTTGCCATTCTTTTGTATTACAGCCTTATGCAGGTGCAGGCTTGTGGAGAACAACAGGACTGTCCTTGAGTCACCAGGCAAAGCCCTAGGAGTTCTAGACTCTGCAGTTTGATGACCTGGAAATGAACATGTTTGTTCCTTGATTTGTCATGTGTTTGTTCATCCAGTCATCTGTTTGCTCCTGGCCCTCACTTGCATATCACGTTAACTTACACTTTTCACCGTCATTCCATGGTTAGATCAGCTCGACTGCCCTAGGAAGCAGGGGTGTGATCCCCACCTTATTGATGACAGCTGTGTGTGAGCATGCTCTGGCCCGGCCTCCACACTGCACCTTGCCCAACACACTGTGGTGCTGGATGCCGGGGTGGCTGAGTGCTGTCCAGTGCAGGTGACAGCAGGTAGAAGCACCTAGCCTTGATTATTCCAGCCCAGCGTGAGCAGAGCAGATGCCAGACACAGGGAGGAAGGCAGAGTGTGGAGTAGCAGCTTGAAACATCTAACGTCGGGTCCTGTCCAGAGAGTCCACACCCTCCCTCTCCTCTCCGTCATGTTCTGGCAGTCTAGAACCACATTTGTCTGATTCCCTGATTTGCCCAGGCTTGGGTCGGCTTCTGGGGATGGGGAGGCAGAGGGAGTGGGGGAGCCTTGGGGAGTCTTTACTCTGTGCATGCAAATGGGCATCTTGAATGGACCGCAGGGGGTTGAGCTCCAGGGTGTGTGCAGCTGTTCTGCCCGGCATTCTTCTTCCTAACACCCTCCACGCGGAAGGAGAAAGGCCCATCTGTTAGAAGACTCTGCCGTTGGTGGCGTGACACCAGCCCCTCTAGTCGGCTGCCGTGCTTCCTGGTTGAGCTATAGCAGATGGCAGCCGGAGCCTGGAACGGGCCTTGGGAGGGAGCACTGAGGCCCAAGCTCTGCCACAGATGGCGCTGGGGGACTTTGGGAAGTCGCCCCTCCCCTCTGGACCCCTGTTTCCCCACTGGTAAAACAAAGATGGATCAGGAGATCGGTAGGCAGCTCTCCAGGTCTGAGGAAATCTCTCTTTTAGGATTCCTGCCCAAGTGTGACGTGCGGCTCCCCTCATTTCAGGACATCCCAGCAGGCTCTCAGTGGGCAGGGAAATTCAGAGGTGGATTGCTTGGAACCTGACAGGGTAAAGGTTGCATCCCCTTGTCTCCTCCTCTTAGCTCCTGTGGTCGTCGTTCCTCCCCGAAGTGTTCACAATGTCACCGGGGCGCAGGTGGGCCTGTCCTGTGAAGTGAGGGCTGTGCCTACCCCAGTCATCACATGGAGAAAGGTATTTCTGTCCAAGAACTCATGCGTCTCGTGTGTGTGTGTGTGTGTGTGTGTGTGTGTGTGTGTGTGTGTGTGTGAAAGAGACAGGGAGAAACAGAAAGGAGTGGTAAAATGTTTTTCTTTTAAATGTATTTGTATATATGCTTTTATAGGTGGGCCAGAGGATGAAGAAAGGATATCTTCTGTACCACTCCTCTGCCTCGAAACTTCTACCCCAAAGCTCTCCCCTTAGAAAGGGACATTGCAACCCTTCCTGTGCCATTTACACCCTTGGCCACTTAAGGACCCAGAAAGCTCTGCTTTTACCCAGTCTGCATCAGCTATGGTGGCCATGTGTGTGTATCCTGCTTCACTTCAAGGCTGTGTTTCAGACAGACCTGGCTGATGGCAGAAGACTTAGTCCTATTCCAAAACCAAATCTTCTAAAGACTAGTTTTTGAGAGACCGGCAAGGATCACAGTGTATGTTGTCCCCTTAATGTCAGCAGGCCTGAGACGGGCATTGAAATTCTGAATCCTTCTGTGGGCTAGTGGTGATGTTTGTGTCTTTGCTGTCTGGCAGAGCGTGCTGTCTATATGTACAAGTAGGTTTAAAACATGACTGATGTCATTTGCATAGGAACGAGCTGTGCTAGGGTTTCAGTCTTTGAGTCAGTGGGAGGAGGAGGAAGGAGGAGGGTGAGGAAGCCTGTGGGATGGTTTTTATCCAGAAATGCTTTTTCTAAGTCCCCTCCTGGCGTTCCTGTCCCCTGTAGGTCATGCAGTCTCCTGAGGGCACCCAAGCGCTGGAGGAGCTGCCTGGGGACCATGTCAATATAGCTGTCCAGGTGCGAGGGGGCCCTTCCGACCATGAGGCCACGGCCTGGATTTTGGTGAGTGTTTAGGATTATTGGATATTATTGACTGACCATTAAAAACCATCCTTTATATTTCTACAACGCATTACATGTTCCAAAGCTGTTCTTACCCATTTCTCACTGGCCCCTCCAGTAACTGTGAGGCAGGCAGGGCAGGTTTCAGATCTGCTGGGAACACATGTGATCTGCTGCCAGGGGCAGAGTGATGGCCCCACAGTGATGTCCACGTCCTCACCCCCAGAACCGTACGACGTTACATGGCAAGGTGGTGGGAGGGAGGTTGTGGTTGCTAAACCGCTGAGATAAGGAGATTTAAGATAAAGAGATTAGCCTGGATTATCCGGGTGGCCCAATTTAAAGGTGGGTCTTTAAGTGTGGAAGAGGGAAACAGAAGAGTCAGAGGCAGACTGAAGTGATTCGATGTGAGGAGGACTTGACCCACCATTTCTAGCTCTGATGATGTTGGAAAGGGCCATAGCCAAGGAGTGCCAGCATCCACTAGGAGCTGGAGAAGGCAAGAAAATGAGTCTCCTGAGAGCCTTCAGAAAGAACGCAGCCCTGCCGGCACCTTGATTTTAGCCCACTGATTTTAGCCCTTTGGGCTTCCGACCTCTAAAACTGTAGATAATAAATGTGTTTGTTTTAAGGCACTCAGCTTGTGGCGATTTGTTACAGCAGCCCAAGGAAACTAGTACACCTGCCTAAAGTCACCCGCTGGTAAAGGAGGAAGGTGGCACATTCAAGTCCTCCTCCAGAGCTCTTTCCTGCCACTCGCAGCACTTTTACTAAGATGAAGAATGCCACATGTTTGAAGGAGTGATGGAATGAGGAGATAGGGGTCCATGTTGGGTCAGTCACTGTACCTTTCTGAGCCTCCATTTCCACTATTGTTAAAAGAGGGCTTCAAACTGAATGACCTCTGAGGGCCTTTGTGGCCCTGACAGTCTGTGATTTACCTGTGAGTCTCCTGTAAAAAGAAGACCATAATGCTCACCCTTCCCCCACGACTGGCATGAGTTTAAAACGAGCTGATGTGCATACCCCAGCGTGTGGTCCGTAGCATGATTTGTAACTGATGGAAGCGGTTGGTTGTAACAAGAGAAAGCAAAAGAGAAGCGAGCTGGTTATGGACCTGGCTGTGAGTATCCTCGGAGTGCTCCCTAAGGACAACCTCCTCATTCCACCCACAGCTCTGGGAGGCTTGGTGACTCTTCTCCACCCAGCTGAGAGATTGGGAATGCAATTGGTTATGTGGTTTTTTTCAAATCAAGCACATTCCCCCATTTTCTTAGGAGAAAAGACAGGAACAAAGAGGTTATCTCTGGTGATATTTTGTAGAGGCTGCCCCTATAGGGAATACTTTGTGGATAATTCTTTGGTCAGTAGATTTTTATTCTTTTTTTAACTTGAGGTATTTTCCAAATAATCTATACCTTGCACCTTTAATACAAAATGGTATACCATTTACAGATAGCTCGCAGTACATGGCAGGCATGTGGAGGAATCATTCAGATGACAGCCACAGTAGGCAGCGTGCCTTTCAAGAGGGTCCCTGGGAAGGAAATTTACCTTCATGCTCCTTGGCAGCCAAGGCAAGGGGAGAAGTAGAGCAAGTTTTACCTTATTCTGAAAAGGAGGAGGTGTGCAGACTTATTAAGAACTAAGGAAGTCATTTTGCTGTACCTTATATAACTGTATAAACTTGCCTGTTATATTTCTAGATCAACCCCCTACGAAAGGAGGATGAGGGTGTGTACCAGTGCCATGCAGCCAACATGGTGGGAGAGGCTGAGTCCCACAGCACGGTGACGGTTCTAGATCTGAGTAAATACAGGAGCTTCCGCTTCCCAGCTCCCGATGACCGCATGTGATGGAGAAATGTACATGTTCTAAGTCATTTTTAGTATTTTACACCCAAGTTATGAGATATTTGAAGTGGCTTATAAGACCTGTAATAAAAAGGAAGAAAAATACATAAATGAAGGAAACCAGGGAGAGAGCAAAAGAAGATTAGGAACATACTAAGATGAGCAGTAGAATCTCTGGTATATTCTGCACACATCTCCCTCTGAGCTTCTTAGCATGCAAAGGCAAGAGCAGTGAACATGATGTGTGTCCATGAGATGAAAAGACCAGTTGTGTTTTGGGGCTGGAGGGAATATTTCCTCTGTATTCTTCTAGAACGAGCACTGAGAGAGGTAGCAGACAGTGTCATTGTGACCGCGTCCGTGTGAAAATATTCCCGCAAAGAAGATGCCTGAGCTTCCTTTGTGTGTTCCTGGAGCTCTTCCTTGTTCAGGACGCCTGAGCTTCCTTCCTGGGGCTCAGGCCTTGCCTTCCTGTCCTCAACACTATATGCTGCTTCGCAACACATCCCCTTGTGGGTAGGGGCAGAGAGAATCTCCACATCCCTTCTGGCCAGGGCCTCCTAGTCGGTAGTCACACAGCTGACAGCTGGGGTTGCATCTGTTCCCTGCCTACAGGTGAACTGGGAATTCGGGAAAGGAATCACTTTATAAGCCAGCTTTTGCTCCATAAAAATCCCAAAATCTTGCTGGTTCACACCCACAGATGTTGATCACTTACCTGCTCATGTTCCATGTTATAGCTGTGAGCTGGCTGTGGCCCTGCCCCATGTGCCCCCTCACTCAGGACCCAGCTGGAGGAACAGCTCCAGTGTGGAACATGTCCGTTCTGTGGCCAGGCTGCACACACCATTGCATTTAAAGTTTCTGCTGGGATGTGATGTGTGCCCCGCCCACTTACAGACCAATCAATAGGTCTGGGATTCCCAGTGGGGATTGTGTATGGGAGGATGTGCGCTTCACTCGTCAGAGGCAAAAGGGCAGGGATTGCATGATCCCTTTTTTTTTTTTTTTTCTTTTTAAGACAGAGTCTCACTCTGTCACCCAGGCTGGAGTGCAGTGATGCAATCTCAGCTCACTGCAAACTCTGCCTCCTTGGTTCATTCTCCTGCCTCAGCCTCCCGACTAGCTGGGATCACAGGCGCCTGCCACCACGCCTGGCTAATTTTTTTGTATTTTTAGTAGAGACGGGGTTTCACCGTGTTCGCTAGGATGGTCTCCATCTCCTGACCTCATGATCTGCCCACCTTGGCCTCCCAAAGTGCTGGGATTACGGGTGTGAGCCACTGTGCCTGGCCTGCATGATCCTCTTACAGGAATGGGGGAGCAGTGGTGAACAGACACCATTACCAAGACTGATCAACAGGTGCTTAATAGAACAGGAAAAATTAGAAACAAGTCTGATAGCGTTTCTCAAAAGCAAGAGGATTTTGCCATGGTTTTAGTTATATTACTCTTTTAGCCACTACTGTTGCACGCCTTCTGTGTGCCAGGCCTTACTTCTGGTCTGTAGGGGATCACAGAAAAACAAAAAGTGGACATCATTATAATACAAGGAATGCGATGTTAAGGGAATGGGAGGAGATGTTAAAGCACAAAAAGCAGCTTAGAACTGGGGAAAATGAAGGAAGAATCATCAAGGAGGTGGCATTAGGGTTGAAGGATGGGTGTATGTAAGTAGTTAAGAGGCCCTAGAAATGGGGAGAAAAATATGAAAATGTAAAACTGTGAAATAGGAATTCAACAAAGAGTTAGGAGATTGGGTCTTAAAATTGTATTCCTGATGATATGTGACTTGTTTTATATAGATATGTTTCCAGTTTTAAATATATATCTCAATAATTTTCAAATACACATATATTTTGAGGCAGAAATGATTCTGGGGTGTGAATACGTCAAAAGGATACCATGAAAAATTGTGGAATTTTAAGACCATCACTGCTGCCTGGGTCTTGGGTTCCTTCTGTGACACACAGTATTGCCAGCTCTGGCTTGTGTACCTCCAGGGATACAGAGCTCACTACCACTGATAGCCATCTGTGGATTTTCCAATGGTTGAAAAGGTCTTCTTCTTATTAAGCTGGAGTCTGCCACTCTGAAACGTCCAGCTTTTGGTCTTGACAGTATTTCTCGGGGCTCCCCATTGGCACCATTTCCTGCTGGGGAGAGATTTGAAGTGAAGGATCATTTCCCCCACCTTCCATGTAACACATAGTTGATTGTAACAGAGCAGGCTTACTTTTGCTAATTCTTTTTCTCCTTTTCTTCCTAGGGTCTTAGAAACATTGATCATAGGATGATGGAAAAGTCAAATAATGGATCTTTGTGCTTCGTGAAGAGTTGGAAAACCTGTGTTTGTAGATGACCCCTTTTGTATGTTTTTAAAAATTAGATGCAAACTAGATTTGTATGCAGGTGTAGTTTTTAGCAGGGCAAACAGTGAGAAAAGGATTTGCATGTGGTTTTTTTTATACTTTTGAAATGAATTGTTCCATGAGAAGTCTTTTTTTAATTACTCTTTTCCAGGCAGATCACAGATTGGCACGTTTGCAATTTCTAAAGGGCTCGTATCAGCTGTGACTCTTTACCTCATTTGTCTATGACCTATTAGTGGTGCTCTGTGACTTAGTGTGCGTTGTAGAAGGAGGGACAAGGGTCGCAGCTGTCCTCTGCCTGACTGTAACTTGCTGTGTGACCTGGACAGGTCCCTTCCCCCCGCTGGGCCCTGGTCCCTTCATCTGTGAGTATGGTGTTTTAACTGGATGTTATCAATGTCCCTTTTAGCCCTGCCATCCTAGAGTAAGATGGCCCTTTGGAAAAATTACAGGAGATGTGGTCTTAGTATTCTTCTAAAATGGTATTCCCTCAGAAACAAATTCCATTGCTTTACCCCAGGGTGTGGACAGCTGGCTGTAGCTCTCCTATTCCTACCTTTTTCCCTTTTAAGGAGACTTAGTTTTAGGTGGGATGCTTTACCAGACTCAGAAGCACCTTGGCTGGATCTTTGGAGACCAGAGCATCCATTTGTTAGCCTAGCATTCTCTTTTTAAAAAAATTTTTTGAGACAGGGTCATGCTCTATCACCCAGGCTGGAGTGCAGTGGTGTGATCATGGCTCACTGCAACCTCCACCTTCTGGGCTCAAGTGATCCTCCCACCTCAGCCTCCCGAGTAGCTGGGACCACAGGCATGCCCCACCACACCCAGCTACATACATTTTTTTTTTCTTGTAGAGACAGGGTCTCCCTATGTTGCCCAGGCTGGTCTCAAACTCCTGTGCTCAAGTGATCCTCCTGCCTTGGCCTCCCAAAGTGCTGGGATTATAGGCATCAGCCACTATGCCTGGCTTAGCCTAGCATTCTCTAAACAGGTGGTTAGAAGCAGTGGAGACCAGGCTTCTGATGGTCAAATTGAAAAACAAAAAAGGAGGGGTTAGCCGTTATCTCCAGACTGTGGAATTAGGTTGTAGTCGAATATATTTTACCCATAAACATTTTGACCTCACCCAAGAATAAAGCTCTCTTTTTTTTTCTTTTTTAATGAAAAGAGAAAGGAGAATATTTGCTATCTTGTCTTAAAAAAATAGATCCTTAGGTTATTACAATTTTTAAAATAAGAATTGAAATCCCTTACTATGTACAGTCCTTGAAGTTCATAAAGCCTGATCCCAACTCTGGGAGAGGGGGCAGGACAGGTGTTAATGTCGCTGCCTTTCGCAGATGAAGAAACCAGGCTCTGAGAGGAAAAGCTACTTGCCCAAGGTCTGAAGGCCTCTGAAAGAGGAGCAGAACTCAGGGCACCTGGCCCTCCTTGGTCACTTTTCTACTCCACGGTGCTGCTACTCAGGGTCATCTCAAAACTATGTAAAGGCAGATGTTGCCAATCCACAGGCTTCAGAGACTCTTATCAAGACTCTTCCCAACTTTTAAGGCACCCTTTCATACCGCTCACATCGTGCATTACATTTTGGAGTCCTCGTTCGAAGTGAACTTTCCGCCTGTAAGCCTGCCATTCCGTATCTAAAATATTGGGATGGCATCACCTTCTGTACTATGCAGCAGCAGGAGACTGGCCTGGGATTCTGGAAACATGAGACCCATTTGCATATTAATCCCTGGCTCGCTGTGTGACCCTGAGCAAGTCTCCTTCACTTTCTGTGCCTCAGTGTCCTTATCTGAGTAAAAGGGGAATAAAACTAGATGAGTGGTTTTCAAACTTTAAAACATTGGAAGTTCTCTTTGAAAACAGAAGATGAGAATTGAAATGGATGGCACTGGAAGCTGCTCTTGTCCACAGGGGTCTGGAGCTGCCAGGGGACCTGCTCACATCCCCTCCTCACTCAGCACCTCCCACCCCTCCCTTCCGCACGCACTGTGACTTACTTCCATGTGGGAGGGCCTGCAGCTAATTACATCGCCCTGTCACTCAGCACCTCCCACCCCTCCCTTCCCCACGCACTGACTTACTTCCATGTGGGAGGGCCTGCAGTTAATTCTCCTGTGTCTTGAGTGGTTGGGAGACGATTTGGTCAGACCCTTAGTGAAATGATGTGAGAAGGAACAGGGAAGCTGTGGTTCTGAAGAAGGTAGTAGAACATCCCACACCTGCTAATAAGCACATTTTGCTAACTCAGTTGACTCCCCTCAAATTTGCCTAGTGAAAATTGAAGGGCTGGATGTGGACCCAGAGAGCAGGGTGGACAGAGCCCATGCTGGAAGTACTGAGCATCCAGACTGTATGGGGCTGGCTTTAGCATCATTCTGTGCAAAGACAAGTAAATAATTAATGTCACACTGTCTGAAATTCTCACCAAAACCAAAAAGGCGTATTAACATGATTGTTCCAACCTCATGGTTTTTCAAGTGTGAGAGCCCAGAGACCTCTTCAGAGGCTAAGAGAGCATCCGCTGCTGCAGCTGTTAGCATTTGCGGACATAATCACGATGCCCTCCCCTCCCCTCCCCGCACCAAACCTGGGTTTTTCTACTGTTTTTGTAGATGTCATGATGTAATGACCTCTGCATCCTGAAAATAAATGTTTTTAAGGACGGTCTTTGTGGTGTCTTTGTTGTAGGAATGCTGTATGGGTGGGTGCAGGTCCCACTGGTAGTCCTTTATCATCCCTCATGCATCCTGTCCTTTCTTCTGCATGCCCACTTCAGCTACTTAGTCTAGACCCTCCTTACCTCTCACGCCTGGGCTATGATCACAGCCCCACCGTTCACCTTGCCTGCAATTTTTAACCAGCCCTAATCATCTTACACTACTGCCCTTGACTGTGTGTGTCCTGCCGTATAACATTCTAGTACTTCATTCACTTGCTGATATATGTGCTCTGTCCCCTCCCACACACACCAAGTAGCATTTTTCAGGTGCCAGATGGGTACAAGACACTGAAAATCATGGATGGAATCATCTGGATTCCTCCCATATGAAAGTAGGTAGAATCAGGTCCCGAACTCAGACTCCAGTGGAGGCATGGGTGAGATGAGGTCACTATCCCTGGCAGCCTACTGTGTCTGCTCTGTGGTTAGAGCAGAGGGAGATCAAGGAAGACTTCCCAGAAGAGGAAGCAGGCATTTGAACTGGCGGGAGTGGGTGTGGGGGATTCCAGGCTAAGGAAACAGCATGCAAAAAGGAGCCAGGGTAGAGAAATGCAGTGTAGTTTGTGAACAGGGAGGAATGGCCAGTTGCTGCTGCTCAGGGCTGTGGTAGTGGGCGGCGGTCATTTTGGCCACACCCGTAAGTGCTGACAGAGGAGGTTGAACTTGTTGCGGTAAGCAGTGGACAGCCTGAATCTCTGTCTTCTGTTGTCCACTGGGCTTGAGGAAGACAATTCCACAGCCCATGTTCAATCCCAAATGTATCTGCTTTCCCCCTTAAATACAAATAAGGCTAGTTTTTAGTTAAGGTGGATTTTTTTTCTTTCAGGTTTTATGGTGAAATTAATTCCAACATCTTTAAAAACACTGCCCCGCCCTCTCCTCCAGGGATGGATGGTGCAGGAGAAATGAGTAAGAATGGCAGATCCAGCGACAGTAAAAGTCTCTGCTCATGAATTTCCTCCTTCCCAGTCTTTACCAGGGCTTCTTGAACATTAAATCAGACAATGATTATTCCGTGATATTTTAATTAATTAAGGGAAAGCCAAGTGCTCTGGTGTCTCAGTTTAATGAATTCAGAACGTGGAAGCCCAGCGCCCAGGGCTGAGTTGCACACCTACACTTGCCCACGCTCTGGCTGCCTGGGGCTGACCTCTCTCCTGGAATGTGAACTCCTTTAGAAGCCGGGGCTCCTTTTGAGTTCAGCCTCATTGCATCCAGCAGTGAGAAGTGTGTGGGTCCAAGGAGGCAGACTTGTCTGTGTTGGCTTTCACTGTGGCTGTCTCTTCCTCATGCCTACATCTCCCCTCCATATTAGGGAACGGTTGATTCTTGAGGGAAGAGTAAAAATCCTGAGTACTAGGGAGTGGGAGAACAGTCTCCCCTCTTTCCTCCATGCATAAATCCACGCATCACACACATTTGCAGAGCTCCTCCAGTGCACCAGGCATCGCCAGGTAGCGAAGGGTCTACAACTGCTCACAGACCTCGGAGTCTCAGCTCCGGCACAGAGGGCTGCTTGTGGTGCCAGGGGGCGTGCCCCTGTCTCTCTGCGGTTGAAGGTGTAGGCAGCTCTTGCTTGGGTGGAAAGGGGACTAGCTTTAGAGTTGGAAGACCCAGAACCAAGGTCAAGCCCTGTCACAGACTGCAAGGCTGGGTCACTTTCATCAACTCCTACGGCCTCCATTTCCTCTTCAATCCGGGAAGGGTGGCATCCCTGCCCTTGCCTGTTGCTCTGAGAGCCCCATGTGTGAATGGCCACTCACTGTCTGTTCTGCACAGATCTTGGAGGGCTGTGTGCTGGAGGCAGAGGGCTGGGAGAGAAATCAAACATGCTCGGAGTATGTGAGGCACAGTCTAGCAGGACAGAAACATTAGATCCGTTTCAACCAACGAGAGCTGCCTTAGCACAAGACCAAATGAAGGGTGCCCAGAGACCTCTTCAGAGGCTAAGAGAACATGTGCTGCCACAGCTGTTAGCACAAAAGGTTAGCTCAAAGGGTGAGATTGCTTAAATGAGAAGTTCAGAGGAACCGTTCTGGAGGGGGTGGCCCTTAAGTAGGGCTCCAAGGAAAAGGAACAGCATGAGCACGGCTGGATGGGAGGCAGCAAATGGCCCACGAGAGCATTAAACTCAAAAAGCGTCCTTGTCAGAGGCAGTCTCCTGTTGGCACATCTCCATGGACGTGCCACAGGCGGCAGAACCGGGGCGAGCTGCCAGCAAAATCTAGGGTCTTCCACAGTGTTGAACTGTCCTGTCACAGACTATACTTCCTGCCTCCTCTTGCACCTAGGCTGGGTCATGTAGCTGGTGAAATGTGAGTAGAAGTGATGTGTTCCATGCAGAGCCCAGGGCTTTCAAAAAGTCAGTGTGCCTTTTCTGTACTGTCTTCCCCATTTGCCAGCTGACACGGAGGTCTCTGAGGCCCCGGACAGGAGTTTTCACCTGGATCCCTAGACCCCTTGGGGTTCTACAGGTAGATTCACAGATTCTGTCAACTCCTTGAGAGCGTGCAAACTGTGCGCATGTGCACGTGTACATCCTTTTCACAGTGAAAAGGTCTATTGCTTTGATTAGCTTTTCAAAGGAATACAAAACATAAAAGTGGTTAAGAACAGGCCAGGCGCAGTGGTTCATGCCTGTAATCCCAGCACTCTGAGAGGCCAAGGCAGGGGAATCACCTGAGGTCAGGAGTTCGAGACCAGCCTGGCCAACATAGTGAAATACAAAAATTAGTCGGGCATGATGGTGGGCGACTGTAATCCCAGCTACTCGGGAGGCTGAGGCAGGCAGAATTGCTTGAACCCAGGAGGCAGAGGTTGCAGGAGGCAGAGGTTGCAGTGAGTCAAGATCGCACCACTGTACTCCAGCCTGGGCAACAGAGCAAGGCTCTGTCTCAAAGAAAAAAAAAAAAAAAAAAAAAGGTTAAGAACCATTG